AACCCCTTCTGGCAACAGCGACTATCTGGACGCGCGCCTTACGACATACACCCAAAAAGGAGAGTGCCAAGCAATGAGCTTATCAACGGACAAAGTTCTGGCCAATTGTGTATGAAGTATCTGTAGGTATAAAGCGAGTAGGGTTCGCTGAAATCTTTAGTTATAAGCCGCATAATGTCTCCAATCTGAGTTTCATCCTAGAACATGCAATTTTGGGCAGGAAAAAAAGCGTTGCACTTGTGTGGACTGCAGCAGCACGTGTTACAGCCCTTTTCTCAGTGTGAATAAAATTCAGCATAAGCAATATGATCTTAGCATATGCTTCCAAATACTTTAGATGCCAGATGATTTGAGCTTGAAAAAGCAAAAAATGATCAGGAACGAATCACTTCTACCAAGGACTGCAGAATATACTGAAACTATGCCCATGGGTTTCTGGTAAGTTGATCACAAATCACATCGGTATGATGCCGCCCCAATTTTGAGGTTACGGTGGGATAATGGGAGGTGAGTCGAAGGGATCCCTAAAACTCTGCTCACGGGCTTCTTCAGAAAGCCAAAGACGATTTAGATTCTGATTGTGCATTAGAAGATGTCTTTATTCAGACACACTGCGTAACATACCAAGTATCCAGCGTGAGGTCTACATCGAATTTGCAAGATAGGAAACTTGAACGATCTACCGCATACCCACCGTAATCTCAAAAAAGGAGCTGTCATGCGAAGTTAATAAACTTTTTTTTAACAAAAATGTTCATATCGTGCAAATAACTACGCCCTGGTCCCACTAAATGGAGATACTATCAAAGTTCAATTTGAAAGCAGGGTGGGCGAATGTAATAAATTAACAAATAAAAAGAGCTCGAAATACCAAATAAATGAAGCTCGAAGTTGAGATACTCACCTTGTAATCCACAGCTTTGATAGTTGATGCACGTTCACTACCACTAGGCTCGTCGCGGCTAAACATGTGCTGATCTCGAGGCCACGGACTGTTTGCGTGCGTAGAAGGACACTGAAACAGTTCTTGATCATAAGTTACAAGAGAACTCTTCTGAATGAAACTAAGGCAAGGGCCGCGCTGTGTACAAAAAACAAATAAATCAAAATAAAAAGTACAGGTAGGCATAGATGGAACAAGAAAATCCAAAGTAGCCGGAAGCTAGTAGCTGATCGAGCAGCAAGCAAAGGTCCACCATCGATACCGTCCACGACAACATCACTGCGAATTTGTTCATAGTCCTAAAAACAAAATAAAAGGAACGAGAAGCGCATTGAGAAAACACAGCTGAAAAGAAAACACACAACACAACACAAGTGTACGAGCGTAGCACGGAAGGAAGAAGGCGCGGAAAATG